CTGGACACACTGACCCTGCAGGACCGGGACTGGACAGCCCTGTTCTGGACACACTGACCCTCTAGGACCTGGACAGCCCTGTTCTGGACACACTGACCCTGCAGGACCGGGACTGGACAGCTCTGTTATCAGTCTTCACAGCACACAGAATCTGAGGTCAGGTTCAGGAGCTGACATCACGCAGTCTGCAGGGAGGTGACGCAGATGCAGTTCTTGTCTGAAAGCGGCATGTTCTGTGGGGAAAAAAGGTGAACCATGAAAATCTGTTGCCACGTCTCTGCGATTCCTCCCTAAAGGAGCTCCAATTTGCCCTGTTCTCTTCGTGTTGCTTTTCTGCCTCTGTGACATATTTAATATTGTGGGCAGAAATAAGAATAAAATCATTTAATATAAACCCACGCATTTTGAAAAATCCAGTGAAAAGGAAAACAGTTTAGTTTCAGTCAGACTCCCAGTGCGCAGCAGTCTGATCCGCTCCAGGTGGATACAGATCCTGGGTAATACCTCTAACATGTAAGTCCTCTGCTTCATCTGTGTAATTTGCGTAATAATCTGTTGATTTCAGAAGCTGACTTTCTGGCTCAGTGGGGCGAGTCTGCACTCGCCGGAGCCGCTGTGCGCGGGTGCTCCCCCAGGCCCTCCCTCCTCTCCTAACGGTATCCCGCCTCCCGTGTCCCAGCCTGTCCGGACCCGCCCGGACCTGCCCAGAATGTAACAGTCAGGGCGCCCGAGGAGCAGGCAGGGCCGCTGGGCTGCTGGGCCGCTCCGTGTCAGGCCTGTGCAGGCGGAGAGGACCGGAAGCAAAGGTTCCCGCTGGCAGTGACGAGTGGAGTTCGCGCTGGCAGAGGGCACTGCAATGACACGGACCCCCCAGCAGGAGGAGCTCTTTCCCCGGACATGGCTCGCAGGCCTGCAGTGGAGCTGCGCAGCTGAGGGTTCCAGTCTTCATCTCTGCGCAGGCGAGCTCTGTTGGGGGGGGTGGATCTTGTCACGCACCTGTGCACAGACACACGGTTTGCTGTCTGTCTGCTACTGCAGGCAGGTCGGGAGAGGAAGCCTGAGAGGCTCTCAGCCCCTGCTGCCCCTGCCTGTGACTCAGCGGCTCCTGCCTCACAGGTCCAACCAGTTCACTTACAGACAGCGACTCTCACTGTACCCCCCAACCCAGACTGCATCTCTACACACAGCAGAGCACAGCCCAGTGAGATCAGGGTAAAAGCACAGTACAGCGCAGTAGAATCCAGTGAGATCAGGGTAAAAGCACAGTGCGATTGGCAGTGCTGGAAGTTTGCTGGAACTGCAGGGTTAAGGGAACAGTGGTAAGAATTCTGTACAGCCTCAAGGCTGTTGTCCTGCTACATGCAGCGAGTGAGCTCTGCAGTGTGCGCCACCACTGTGCTTGTGTAACATCGTCTGGTGACATCTTGCTGTATAAGGGCCAAGGGAGAGTCGGACTGGCAGGACCAGCAGGGGGCGCTGCCACAGGCATGCGAGAAATGTCTTGATGGGTGTGGCTGAACCAGTTCTTCACCTGAGGTCATTAATAGAGCAGAAATAGCCACAGAAAGAGACACACACCGATGCGCAAACACACACAGTGACAAACGCACTGAGAAACACACACTGAGACACGTCGATGCACAAACACACACTGCTGCTGAACACGCACTGAGAAACACACTGAGGCAGATACAGGTTCTTGTGGAGTTCCCCTGCAGGCCCAGGTGCCCCAGGAGCTCTTACAGACCCAGACCAGGTCAGTTCTGTACAGCCCAGGTCCTAACGGTGCCCCCAGACCTGAGAGCTAACAGCTGTGCCCTCCTGCCCCGATACCAGCGTGGTGTCCTGCGGACCTGCAGACACGAACTGCTCTGCTGCACAGACAGCTGTTGGCAGGCAAGGCTGCTGCGCAGACAGCGCAGGCAGCGCAGCCAGATGGCCCCAGTGGGATGTTTTTGCAGGACCCTGACACAGCAGAGCTGTGAGCAGCAGTGGTGCAGCAGGTCTGTCCTGTCCCCGCGGTGAAAGAGGTGGGACAGGAGGCAGAGTAACACAGGACTGATCCACCAGCATTCCTGATGTACATACTGACACAGACACACACACTGACACGCACTGTCACACGCACTGACACAGACACACACTGACAGACACACATTGACACACATACACACTGACACGCACAGACACACAGTGACAAAGACACACAGTCACAGATGCAGAGGGACACAGAAAACAAACACTAATACACACTGACACACTGACACACAGTGACACAGCTGTATAGTGCTATACTGTTATACCACCAAACTATCGGATTACAGACTCATACAGGGAGAATATTGCTAATGTTGTTCTGACAGCCGGAAAATATCCCAGGGGATTTGCATAGGAAGCGTGGAGATAAGGAAGCTGTCACAGCACACAGGAAGAGCTGAGCTGTCCTGGTCTCAGTCCCCATGCTGGGCTGTCAGAGCCCGGAGAGAATCCTGCAGGCTGGGTTGGGCCAGTACCCACTGTGCACTCACACATGGTGGAGAGAGCAATGAAATACACCTTCCACCTCAAAATCAGATCAGAATCTCCTTTCACCACAAGGCCCTGCTGAGCCAAGAGCTGAGCCCAAAACAGAGCCCCCCGAGCCTGCTGGTCCTGAGGCTCACTGACCTGAGCCACACCGACACCAGCCAGCCTCAGGACAGCACTGCTAGAGCACCACAAACCAGAGTCAATCTCATCACAGCACAAGACAAATGACACTGGGACACACACACTACTATAACACAAATGCAATGACAACGCTCACTGCCCAGGAACCTAGCCAGGTTAGGTACAGCAAGGGCAAACAGACCCTGATGAAGGACAGGCTCAGTGACCTCAGCCTCGACACAGATACTGGACACAGGCAGACCTGGCTGCCCAGAGAGGACAGGCTCAGTGACCACAGCCTGGACACACACACACTGGACACAGGCAGACCTGGCTGCCCAGAGAGGACAGGCTCAGTGACCACAGGCAGGGAAGAGGGGTAGCAGGAGAGAAAGATGGGGCAGAGGAGGAGGGAACAGAGGACTCACCCTGCCCAAACTGCCCTGACTGTTCTCTCCACAGGCCTGTCACACCACCTACTCAACAGTAACAGCAGCAGTAGTGTCTGCCCCCACTGTTCCCACCACTCCCTCTCTCCGTGAGTGTGAGGCACCTCTCAGGCTGCACCAGCGGTCCTGCCGCACTCTGGAGACACAGCTGGACACTGCTGGACACTGCAGTAACAGCAGCAGTAGTGATATCGGCCCTGACACCAGTAGTGATATCAACAGTAATAACAGTACTGATATTGGTCGTGACACCAGTAGTGATATCAACATTAACAACAGCAGTAGTGATATTAGTAGTGATATCGGTCGTAACACCAGTAGTGATTTCAGTAGTGATATCAACAATAATAACAGTAGTGATATCGGTCGTGACACCAGTAGTGATTTCAACAGTAACAGCAGCAGTAGTGATTTCAGTAGTGATATCAACAATAATAACATTAGTGTTATAAGTAGTGATAGCGGTCGTGACACCAGTAGTGATATCAACAGTAACAGCAGCAGGGCCTGACTTCCTGGGGCTTCTGTGACAGACACTAGCCCCTTGAGCTTCGTTCGTCTGGCCAGTGAGATGCGAAGATGCAGCCAAATGCTGTCGAACTGCGCTGCCATGGGGACAATTAAAAGCCACAGCTTCTCCCCAGAGCCCAGCCGTGTCCGGAGAGCCGGAACGCCGGGACGGGGGAATGTGCTTGGGCAGGTTCTGGCTCCGCAGAGGAAAGGGAAGGGGTTTCTCGGAAACCGAGAGTCATTCCGCAGGTGGGCAGGGCGCTGAGGCATGCAGGTAACACGCGTGGCCGGGCGGCGCCGACAGGTGTCAGTCTCGGAATGATCCCGCGGCAGGGCCGGTCCGACCGGCTGCGCGAAGACTCGGAGAGAGGAGAGGGAGAGAGAGATAGGAGCAGCAGCAGGAGGAGAGAGATACTGACACTGGAAACAGGCAGACCTGGCTGTCCAGAGTGGGGACTCTGTTGAACTGGCAGCCCAATGTGTGATCTCCTGTCCCAGCCTGAGGAACAGTGAGTCTGTCTCCCACCAATGCTCCAGATGTTTATATGTGAATATCTCATGACCGTGTCTTTATTGTAAATGTCTGTAGATTGTTGTTTTATGTGAACTGTATTTGTTTTGCTTTGGCAACACCGATTGTACTCATGGGGCATGCCAATAAAGCACCTGGAATTGAACTGTACTGAATACAGAGAGGAGAGAGGAGAGAGGAGAGAGGAGGAGAGAGTGACAGGAGCAGCAGGAGGAAGAACCCCCAGTGCCGTCCAGGCCTGCGGGATTCCGGGTCCGAGACGGAGGTTGGGACTGATTCTAGCCACTGTCCGTGTTTGTCCTGTAGGTCCCCAAACCCTCCTCTCGCTGCTCTAGTGTGTTTCCACTTCCCCGACCTCTGACCTCTGACCTGCATTTTGTCTGTGATGTCAGTCCGCTAGCAGCTGGATTCGCTGTTCTGATCCGGTGTGCCCCGCCCTGGTGCTGAGGCCCGGCCCAGTCCATACTGCACTGGGGCGCAGTCCTGGGGTGCTGGACTGTACTCGGACTGCGCCCTCACTGGCTCCCTTGAGTCTCTCTGTTCGCACTCCCCTTCGAAATCCCCATTGTCACACTAACGAGCCCCAGCCCCCCTTCAGGAGCCCAGACAGGCGTCTCCACCCGACTACCTGCAAATCAGTGCGTGTGTCCAACAGAACCACTGGACCAGCTGTCCTCCCGGTCCGACTGGACCTGAACCACCAGACCGGCTGTCCTCCCGGTCT